TCGTCAAACACTGCCGGACTTGCGGACTTGCCCGCGGGGCGAGTAAGGCGAACCAGATCGACTGGTTTCGACCGAGAGCTTCTGCAAAGCAGACGGGAAATGTGGCGGAACATCTTGCGTCAGAGGGGCAAAGCGAATTGGCGGACAGTTGTGCTTCCGCTACGAGTCGGAAGTCATACCGCTGACGACGGAGAGCAGCCACTGGTCCGTGCATCTTGTAGAGAAGGCCGGGCGTTGGGAGGCGACCGTGCGACCGCACCAGAGCAAAATGTGTCAACAGTACGTGGCTGTCACGCGGCGGTGCATCTGCGAACTGCAGACGCCCGTCCTCTGTGGCGTGTGCGCGCTACGACGCCGCCCCCGCGAAGGGCGCCTCTTTGCGAACCTGTCATGCGGGAGCGCGCTGGCATCCTTGAAAAATGCATGCTGCGACTTGAATTTTTCCCGCGATTCAGAGTGGGGGACGCACGCCTTGCGGCGCGGATTGGCGGACGAAGTTTTGGCTCGGGGGGGCGTGCCAGCCTTGTTTCACAGCGGCGGATTGCAAGGAATGTCTACTTTCGGTCATGCTAATGCAAGCACCGGGGGGCGCTGTTTCTGCAGACGAATGGCTGCATCGAACTTTCTGGAACTTCTGCATGTGATGCCAGCACAGAAAAGAAAACAACATATGCACGCGGCCTTCCGTTACGCGGGTAGCAGCCGGCCCGAGTCGTAGCATCGGGGGTGTGTTGGCCTGTGTCAACTCGAACCTCGGCATTGGGCGGTGTCTTCGGGAGGCTCTTGTCCCCACAAGGCCCGCCCAGCAGCGCAGTACATGCATGTGCCATCGCCCCAGAGCCACGGGGGGCCAATCCTCTTGAACCATACTCTTCGTTGATTGGCAGCAGTGGCGGCGGCTGCGATTGAGGTCATTGAACCCACAATACCTTCCTGGAGGGTGGCGGTGAGCGGCCTCGCTCGAGCACGTGCGGTGCCACATCAGGTTGGGTGACGTCCGTCGCCCCGAGGGCAGAACGGGGCAATGCCGCACCGTGCCGTGGTGCCATGCCGTCAAACAGTGCCGTGGTGTCGTGCGGTCACACGCGGGGAAAGGCGGTACCGCGCCGTGCCGTGGTGCCGCGCCGTCACGCCGTGCCGTTGGTCCCGTGCCGTCACGCAGTGCCGTCGCGCCGTGCCGTTGTGCCGTGCCCTTGTGCCGTGCCGTTGCGCGCAGGTTGGTTGTGCGCTGGCCTGCGGTCCGCATGGTTGGGGCGGGGTACAAATACCAGCCAGGTACCCTGTCCAGGGTGGTGGTCGAGCTCCGCTTGGCAGCCGACGGGGTCGGTCCCCCGCCCGCCCGCCCTGGAGTGGGGATTAATTTTCGAGAGGCTCTCGTCCCCACAGGGCCCGCCCAGCAGCGCCGCACACGCATGTACCATCAGAGGGCGCGCAGCCACGCACCAGAGCCACGGGGGGCCAATCCTCCTCCTCCTCTCCTCCCTCCTCCCCCTCCTCCTCCTCCTCCTCCTCCTCTCCTCCTCCTCCCCCTCCTCCTCCCCCTCCTCCTCCCCTCCTCCCCCTCCTCCCTCCCTCCTCTCTCCTCTCCTCCCTCCTCCTCCTCCTCCTCCTCCTCTCCTCCTCCTCCTCCTCCTCCTCCCTCCTCCTCCTCCTCCTCCTCCTCCTCCTCCTCCTCCTCCTCCTCCTCCTCTCCTCCTCCTCCTCCTCTCCTCCTCCTCCTCCTCCTCCTCCTCATCCTCCTCCTCCCCCCCCCCCCTTCCCTGCCCCCTCCGCCCCGTGACGTTCGCCTCTCCGCGCGGTCCCGCGGGCACGGGCGGCGCGGGGCATCCGCACGCGCAGCTGCCGGGGAAGAGCGGGGCCGCGGGGCCCAGGCCGCGAGGCGCCGCGGAGCCCCGCGCCACGCCCTTCTCGCGCGCGCCGCCGAGCCCGAGGAGTCCGAGGAGTCCCCCCCCCCGCGCAGGGAGGAGCGTGGAACGGGCCAGGGCCACGCTGACGGCGATGCTGCCTAGCGGTGCTGCAGGAAACCGAGGTGTGGGAAGTCACGCGCCACACTGTCCTGCATTGCCAGTCTGCGGACGCATCGAAAGACAGCGGCACAGCGAAGTGCTGGAGAGCACGAACCGCGGGTTTCAACAACACCGAAACCTACATCGCCGTTACCTGCATCGCCGTTAGCGTGTCTACGGACAGGGGCGCGCCGAATCGCACATCCGCGGGGATAGGTGCCCCAAGCTTCGAGACACCGCCAGGGACCAATACCCACTGTTGGATGATGCCGGGGATGATGGAGGGGAAAGGGCTAATCCAGAGATCGCGTGCTGACTGGGCCAGAGATTGCGCAGCCGTGCCTCTTTCAGCCGAGAGACCGGTGAGGTCATCGTCGCACTGTGACGAAAACAACACACGCACACACGCGCACACACGCGCTTAAGGTCCGCCATGAACCCTGAGAAACAAGGATCGCCCCCCCACCCTGGTCGGCTTTTTCGGCAGAACTGGATGGCTTCTCGCCCCCTGGAGGTGATAGTCCGCCCCCAGACCCCTCGATGCGAGATCCCACCACGATCCTCAAGGGTTTCAAACAAAAAGACCCCATCGGATTCAAACCAGATCCCAATCTGATTATGATCGGATTACAATCGGAACCCAATAGGATCCTTTAACATCCCAATATGATTCCATTCGGACTCCCAACAAGATTCGAATCAGACCCCAATCGGATGTCAATAGGGGTCCTCCGGGTTCCAACAGGTTTCCAATCATACCCCAATCAGATTCCCATCAACCCTCAATCGGACTCCAGTAGAATCCCAATCGGATAGCATCAACATTTCCATCAATTTCCGAATTATCATTCGCGCCCCCCCTTCCGCAACATTGTTTGAAGTCTCGGTGCTGTAGAGACGCGACCAGTGAGGGGGAGTGTTGGTATTTTCTGGCGTGGTGCTCCACAGAGCTTTGATAAGGGGTCTCATATGGAACCTATATATCCGAAGACTTCCCCTCCTTTAATTGTTTGTTTCTCTCTCTCTCTCTCTCTTTCGATGGTTTCCGATTGTTCGTCTCAAGACTCCCATAAGGATCCCAATTCCTAGTAGGAGCCCAACATGAATTCATGAATCGCTTCCCTGGCCTCCAATACGCCTCCAGGATTCCAATAGGATTCAATTTGGATCACAGGAAAGTTCCAGTAATATTCAACACAAAAAAGATGCCCCCAAGATTCCACTCTGATTCGAATCAGATTCCTGTGCCCAAATGGAATCACAAACCGACCCGAATCGCATACCAACAGGCCCCCAAGAAGACTCACATGAGATCCCACTCGGACAGCAATTGGATTCCGTCGTCGTCGTCGGCCGACTACGGAGGGTCCACGCAGCACCACCCCGTCCACCCCTCCATGACACTTGCGCAACATTGCGTCGTCGTCGTCGACCCCCTACGTACACGTGGTCAACGCAGCACCCCCCCAACCCTATGGCCCTTATGGGGCATCCGCAGCGCGTCGTCGTCGTTGCCGTCGTCGACCGACTACGGAAGGCCCACCGAGCCCCCCTCGTGGAGCATCCGCAGCGCGTCTTCGTCGTCGTCGTCGTCATCATTGGGGTCGTCGTCGACTACGGCGAGCCCACGCAGCACGCCCTCTCCCCCCATGGGGCATCCGCAGCGCGTTTCTGTCGTCTGTCATTCGTCGTCGTTATTTAAGTTCGATTGTTTTGATGTGCCGATGAGAACCCAAGCAGGATGCCCCAAGGGTACAGCGATAAGGACGAGTCTCCTACCCCTCTTACTCCCACAGCCCCCCGTCGAATCATATATTCAATTAATGTGTCGGGGTGTTAACCCCCCTCTCGGGGACTAGTCAATGGTCATAGATCAGTGGGGGATCGATAATATATCAGGGGTAGCCCACCCCCCTGGCAAAGAATAGGGCAAGAAAGCAAGGGAAGCCTGGAAGCATCATCTCGTCCTCGATTGGACAAAATAAGGAATCAAGGAAGACAAACAAAAAAAACGCCCCCCCCCCTCTCCCGAGTGATTTGAGTTCTAGTGATGCCGCAGGGGGGATCGATACTGCATCAGGGTGAATCCAGACCCCTGGCAACTAAAGCGGCAAGAAAGCAAGTGCATCCTAGGAACACCCTCCTCCTCCTCGTCCTCGTCCTCGTCCTCCTCCTCCTCCTCCTCCTCCTCCTCCTCCTCCTCCTCCTCCTCCTCCTCCCCCCCCCCTTCCTCCTCCTCCTCCTCCTCCTCCTAGTCCTCGTCCTCCTCCTCCTCCTCCTCCTCCTCCTCCTCCTCCTCCTCCTCCTCCTCCTGCCCCCCCCCCTTGCTCCTCCTCCTCCTCCTCCTCCTCCTCCTCCTCCTCCTCCTCCTCCTCCTCCTCCCTCCTCCTCCTCCTCCTCCTCATCCTCCCCCTCCTCCTCCTCCTCCTCCTCCTCCTCCTCCTCCTCCTCCTCCCTCCTCCTCCTACCTCGTCCTTGATTGTGCGCTGCAACTCTATCCGAGCCTCTGATCAACACAACGCGCGGGGCCCCGACCACCGTGCGGATTCCGTGTCGCGGGCTGCTTCTGTGCTGTGGGCCGACGAGGTGCACTTAGAGGCCTGCCTTCAGAAGCGGCGGCCACCCTGGAAGCTCCAGGACGCCGGACCCAGACCCCGACGTCCGACGTCGTGCTTCCCCGGGCCTGGGATTTGATCGTAAGCTGTGTGTTGACGGTCCTTGCGTTCGGCGAGGGTCCCCAGAAACCAACAATTGTTAGAACCTGATGTGCCTTCTTTTGCACGATGCGAGAGGGGGCCTGCGAGGCCAAGAACTCCCGACGCCTCCCCCAGGACAGGTTGTCCTCCCGGAACGAGCTATGACTGGCCCGGGGCCCCAAGACGGTCCCCTGGGGAGCCACCGTCCAGGAAGAGCGCCGGGGCTGAGACCACAAATCCGCCGGAGGTCGGACCATGGCCTCCGCGGCGCTGCTGCTTCGGAGGACCCCCGGGGCACGCGCCCGCGCGACGCCGTCGGCGCCCTCCTTCTCCAGGGTCGCCAGCCGAGCACGCTGGGCACGCGGCGAGGCGGTGGAGAAAGCGGCGACGGCAAGGTGCTCGCAGAGTCTTGTGCTGGGGCGGGCAGGTCCCCCGACAGGCGGATCTTGCACGGAAAACACGCAGTGCCCGCAAAATACCCGAAAACGGTCAAACAATAACCGAAAAATCGTCCCCGGACTATCTATAACTGTTTTTGAATATTCCTCCTGCGGCGGGACAAGCCCGACTTCAGTCTTGTTGCTGCTTGCTGATCTTTCCTGTCGCCTGCTGTCGATTTCTGCGGCTCGCAGCGGCTCGCCGCTGCCTCTCGCTGCTGCCGCTCGATTCCTCTGCTGGAACAAACACATGATCGCCCTTCGTCTTCCCTCCTTTCCGTTCGCACCCCCCTCTCAAGCGAGGCGCTTGGGTGAATCCAGCTTTCGTACTCAATGTGAGCCCGTGAGAACACTACCAGCCTTCGACGGCACAGCCTCCATGTCGGCGCCAAGCAGTGATCCTACTGGCGAGCATATAATTACCATCGTATTGCAATGATGGGGCTCAGAGCAACACCCACCGAGACGACCCCGAGAACGAACACTCCCAACTCTGCCTGGGAGCTCTCGAGAACCTTCTCATGCCTCCTCCTGTGTTTCCATCCCTTTCGTCTCCCTTCCCGCCTTGTCCCACTACCCCTCTCCCTCCACATCGGACGCATGCCGAATTTCGCGCCCTGTCTCCCCACGCTCAGTCTGCCTGGTGTTGGCAGCGCTTGCGTATAATAGAGCAGAGAAAAAAGGAGGAACGGCCGTCTGAGAAGGCTGGAGGCTTCGGTGGCAACTCATGCGCTCTTGCGAATCGACGCTGATCGAGGCTAGTCGACGCTAAATCGACGCCGATCGACGCTGATCAACGCTACATCGGCGCCATGTCACCGATTCCTAGACGCTCATCGACGCCAATGCACTCTAAGGACAGAGGTACGAGGGTACGCAAGGCTCCCATTTTTTGAAACCGAAGGAGGTGCCTCAAAATTCAGCGATCGATCCTCGCAAAACTCGAGTGGTCGACCATGGACTGCTCGTAACCCGGCAGCGCTCGGCAGTCTGTGACGGTCCTCGGCAGCACCCTTGGCGACGACCGACCCACGATCGAAAATGGGTCTTACGCGAGACGACTCACCGACCTTGCGCCGCGGCTTACTCGGGCCGCCAGCGCGGCACGGCACAGCGGAGACGACGGCGCTTACGCGCGACCGTATGCGGGCAGCTCACGCGCCAATGCCGGCGAAGACGACCCCGCTTTCTGGCGCCGCTCAACTGATGCTTGCGTTGAACAGGGGGCTGATGATCGAGCACAGGGTACTTCCATGCTACGTCCTCTGCGTCTTCGAATGAGGCAGGGGCCCCGGCGTCGTGACTTTTATTGCATACGTGACCCCGAGATCCCGACCCCTTGCATTAGGTCGGGCGTGTCCTCGTACGGGTGGATCTTGGACGAGCAAATGAGGAAATACGGAACGTATTCAAATATTCACATATATATACACACAAGACTGCATTGGCGCTGCGCGCCATGTACCTTGGTCCTTGGAGTTCTGCGCGCAAGCGGAATGCGTGCGTGCGTGCGTGCGCGCATGCATGTATACACGCGCTCGTGCATGCACGTTCCGTATATTTTTTAGGTGTGTACAATATACTTGCATTGTTGTATGTGTATACAGCGTACATGTGTACATATAAATTCATGTGTGTAAGGGTATGAACATGCATATGCAATTCGTACGGGGCATCCTCGGGCATCTTCGCTGCATGCCACGAGACCTTCAACGACTGGGTCACAATGTGAAATCTCATGGGAGCAAAATCAATGAATGTTGGCATTCGGAAACATCGTAGGGGTGTTTTCGGGGCCCTCGTGGGCCGTTTTGGCGCCTTCATGGGCCGTCCTGGGGCCTTCTTGGGCCGTCTTGGGGAGCTTGGGCCCGCTGGAGCCCCCTTTGGACCCATCTTGCGCACTTCCGGGGACCTCCCATGGGTCTTTTGGGTCTGTGCTGGGAGCCCTTGCGGGCCTCTTGGTTCCATTATGGGCTGTCTTGGGGCTCTCGTGGGCGATCGCGGGGCCCGGCTCGGCCGTCCTGAAGCTTTCTAGGGGGCCTTTTGGAGCGTCTTGAGGCGATCACGGGGGCTTTGAAACCGTCTTGAAAGCTGATGAAATCCGAAAGGCGAATATGCTAAAATTGTAAGTTTGACGCAGGGAATGGGACGACTCTTGTGCTTTGAAGGCCCCTTTGAAAGCTTTTTGGGGGGCCCTGGGGGTCTTTCTGTCGGCATTCGGAAACATCGTGGGGGTGTTTTCGGGGCCCTCGTGGGCCGTTTTGGCGCCTTCATGGGCCGTTCTGGGGCCTTCTTGGGCCGTCTTGGGGAGCTTGGGCCCGATGGAGCCCCCTTTGGACCCATCTTGCGCACTTCCGGGGACCTCCCATGGGTCTTTTGGGTCTGTGCTGGGAGCCCTTGGGGGGCCTCTTGGTTCTATTATGGGCTGTCTTCAGGCTCTCGTGGGCGATCGTGGGGCCCGGCTCGGCCGTCTTGAAGCTTTCTTGGGGGCCTTTTGGAGCGTCTTGAGGCGATCTCGGGGGCTTTGAAACCGTCTTGAAAGCTGATGAAATCCGAAAGGCGAATATGCTAAAATTGTAAGTTTTACGAAGGGAATGGGACGATTTTTGTGCTTTGAAGGCCCCTTGGAAAGCTTTTTGGGGTGCCTTGGGGGTCTTTCTGTTGGCATTCGGAAACATCGTGGGGGTGTTTTCGGGGCCCTCGTGGGCCGTTTTGGCGCCTTCATGGGCCGTCCTGGGGCCTTCTTGGGCCGTCTTGGGGAGCTTGGGCCCGCTGGAGCCCCCTTTGGACCCATCTTGGGCACTTCCGGGGACCTCCCATGGCCCTTTTGGGTCTGTGCTGGGAGCCCTTGGGGGGCCTCTTGGTTCCATTATGGGCTGTCTTGGGGCTCTCGTGGGCGATCGTGGGGCCCGGCTCGGCCGTCTTGAAGCTTTCTTGGGGGCCTTTTGGGGCGTCTGGAGGCGATCTCGGGGGCTTTGAAACCGTCTTGAAAGCTGATGAAATCCGAAAGGCGAATATGCTAAAATTGTAAGTTTTTACGAAGGCCCCTTGGAAAGCTTTTTGGGGTGCCTTGGGGGTCTTTTGGGCCGTCCTGACGCAATTGGAGTCCCTCTTGGAGCGCTCTTGTGCTGTCTGGGGCCTCCCTTGAGCCTTTCTGATGACCCCTCGGATCGCTCTAGGTCTGCTGGCAAGGCGTTTGTGGAGACCCGGAAAGCCGGGTACCTTTTCCAAGGACGTCCAAGGGAGCCCGAGAACCCAAGATCCCGGGGGTCCAGTTTTGGGGGGGGGGGGTGACGTTTCCCCCCCCCCCCCCCCCGGGCTTGTAAAAATATAGGAAGAGGGATATGGAAATAAAAAACACTAGAAACGTCGTCCCCTGATTATTTTTTGACTGCTTTTGTATCATCCTCCTGCACAAAGACAGGCCCGACTCAGCACCAGTCCGCGCCTAAGCCCCACGACCGATGTGCCGCGTGCTCTGCCACCTGGCGCGCGGCAGGACCTCCCGCAGGGCCGCAGAACTGCACGGCCTTCCCGTGCTGACCTCTGTCGGCCCTACGCCAGAGCGACCCTGGGTAATGCGGGATGACTATTTATCAAAAATGGGAGAGAACGATTCAAAAAATAGTGTCCTGCTATTTCTGCACAATTTTCTGACTGGCGGAAAACGATTTAAAACATGTGTTTTCCAGCCCGCGGCCGGTTTTTTCTAATCGTCATCCCGGGCGCCGCCGCGTGAACACGACACCCGGTCATTTATCAATCGTCATCCTCCATTAAGAGTGACCTTTCGTGCGCGGCTTTGGGGGGGCCGCGGGGAGGCCAAATCCAGGCGCGCTAGCCGCTGCTACCGCTTCGCGTTCAGCCATCTGGGGGCCCATCTGTGCCCGCAACAAAGGTCACTCCGGCGAAAGGTCACTCTTACGCGTAGTGGTGCCAAGGAGCCGGAGGCCTGGGGAAGGGGCACCTGACCCTCTCGGAGCATGTTCTTACGGTGGAGGGCTCAGGGTGAACGTCCATATGGGCCTTGCACTTCGAGAGTCAGTCCGTCTTTCAAGGGGCCCAAGGACAAACAAATAAATACACACAAATAAAAGGATTCCCCATATTTTTCCATATTTTGGGGGTTTTTGTCTTCCCCCCCACTTCCCATATTTTCCCATATTTTCTGGGGACTCGACGATTAATTGTGTCTGTGTGTTTCTTCCCCTCCTGATAATACACCGACGCCTCTTCCGGCCCTGCACTGTAACTTGCACGGGAAACCGGAGCCTGGTGTCCACGGGATCCTGGCATGCATACTCCAAATCCCTTATTCAACGTCCCCCGCGGGCCTGGTTGTTTGAGGCGCCTTTTTTGTAACTGGGGGGGTCTGGTTTATTAGGGCGCTTTCTTTGGATTGGAACTTGGGGGGGCCGGTCGATTAAGGCGCCCCGTCGAAGAGGGGGGCCCAATTTTTTAGGGGGCGTCGATGAATTCAGGATTTGGAGTACCTGTCTCGTCATTCCCCCCGGGAAAACGGGAACACAAAGCATGCACCACACCACCCCGACGCCGCCCCCGACCCTCGAAAAAAGTCCCGGGATATTGAACACCAAAAAAAACGCCACCGGTCCTGTGACAGCGTCCGATGTCTCAAAAAAAACCTGCGGGCCCCGACCCCGCCGCGCTGCCAACGCGGCGCGCGCCCGGCCTCCACGCGGCCCATCTCCTCGATGCGGTCGTTCAGCTGCAGGAAGGTCGCCTCCGTCCGCTTCTCCAGCTGCTCGAAGCCTCGGCGGGCCGCGCGGGCGCGCGCTGCCAACGCGGCGGTGCCGCGCCCGGCGCACGGAGGGGCCCGGGCCAACGCCGCGGACGGCAGCGGCAGTCGCGAGCGATAGTGGGCTACGGGTGCCTGGATCTGGCAGGTGGGCACCAGACCCACGGATCGGGGAAGAAGAATCCGACACATGGCGCCAAAGTCACCTGATCTGGTGCGCTTCCTCGAAGGCACCCCAGCAAAAGTCCCGGAGACTAGCGGCAAGCGCGGAGAGGCGTGTGGTGGAGTAGTAGGTCGGCTGGTGATAACGAGCATCACGCGAAGTGTAATGGGGTGTTAACGTCTGCGTCAGGAACGTACGAAGGAGTGGAACTCAGTCAACACGAGCCAGACATGCGGCCGGGGATGTTCTTGTGTGTAAAACTCGCAAACGGGTGCGGATGTATAGCAAAACGGAAAGCTGGAAGTGAGGTGGCGTGTGCACCCTTGTCTAAGAGTCTTACACATGTTGGCTTCCGACCTGGGAAGGACCCCGTGGCGCCCATGGCCCTGCCACGCGTTTATGACCTGGAACACTGGATGATGAGACACTTATGGCCCTGCCACACATTCGTGACCTGGGAGGGTTGGAACGGCGAGAATCCGATGACCCTGCTACACGTTCGTGACCTGGGAGGGCTGGAGTGGTGAGAACCCGATGGTCCTGCCACACGCTCGTGAGCTGAAATTGTAAAATCCCGCTGCCCGTGCCAACGTTCGTGACCTGGGAGGAAACCCCATGGCCCTGCCACACATTCGTGACCTGGGAGGCCGGAGGGGTGATAATCCCATGGCCTTGCAACATGTCCACCCCTCCCGCCTATTCGTGACCTTGGTCGCGTTTTGAGCGCCCCTTGGCTCACTCAACGGCGGGCGGTTTGATCGCCCCCCCCCGTCTCCGCCACCCCCATGTTCGGGGGCGCGCAAACATGGATTAGCGATCCATGGATTTGGCGCGCGGTCGCCAAATCCATGGATCGGTGGAGGTGCCCTCCCCAAAATGCGGCCGGTGCCGCCTCGTCCGGCGGCGGAAATGTGCGATCCCCCAGGGAAGCGGGACCCCGTCGCTCATCCACGCCCCTTGAATCCATGTTTTGCGATCGCCCGACAAGTGGATCTGAAGGAGTTGCCCCTGAGCCCCCTCAGCGCATCCCCTCCCCCGAGCTCATCCCTTGGGCGCCCGAATTATCCGGGGTAAATCGGGTCCGGGGTAAGTCGGGTTTGGATTCCCGAAAAACGAACCCGAGTTAGCCCTGACCCGAGATACCCCTGATGATTCGGGGCTCTGGACGCCCGAATTATCCGGGGTAACTCGGGTCCGGGGTAAGTCGGGTTCGGAATCCCGAAACACGAACCCGAGGCAGCCCTGACCCGAGCTACCCCTGATGATTCGGGGCTCTGGACGCCTGAATTATCCGGGGTAAGTCGGGTCCGGGGTAAGTCGGGTTCGGAATCCCGAAACACGAACCCGAGGCAGCCCTGACCCGAGCTACCCCTGATGATTCGGGGCTCTGACATCCCCCCCCTGGCGTGCCTGGCCCCCGCGGGGCGCCACCGGGGCGAGCAGAGCGCGGGCGGCCGGCAGCCCGCTGGGGCCCTGGCCCCTCTGGATGGCGGCCGCTTGGTCGAGCACCTCCTTGGTCGAGGACGCGGCCTCGGCCTTGGTCGCCTCTAGCGGGGGGGAGGGCAGGGCGCTCGGTGGGCTCCGGGAGCGGCAGGGAAGGCACAAAGACATGCTGGTTATATACGTTCTCCTTGGAGGCATATAGTACAGTCATCGGCCTGACCTAAGGAACGATAAATAAGGAACGAAGTCCCATTTTAATCCCAAGGAATGACGCATAGGGAACGATAAATAACAAATCACGCATAAGGAACAGTAAATAACGCATGCAAACCTAAGGAACGACCGAGCCCCTTTTGAAAAGTAAGTGTTCCTTATTCAAGCTGCTCACTGTAGCACATCGTCTCCCCAGCGGTGTGGCCAGAGAGCGCCCGCCACGGCGCACATACTATAGAAGATTTCTCCCGGTGCGCGCGGCGCTCCCCGGGGGCGACGCACACATCGTATAGTTATGTTGGGGTGACGCCGGCGGCAGGGCCGGTTTTTCCACCGTTTTCGAAGAAACTTCTCTTGAATCGGGGCATTGACCTAAGGAACCCAAAATAAGGAACGAGGCCCCTTGTTTCCCTAAGTTAACCTTCGATTTCCTGTCGAAGACATAAGGACGGCCTGAGGCAAATTGTGAAACACTTAAGGAACGCGGAGCCCCTTCCCAACGAAAAGGGTTCCTTCTTCAGGGCCCCGACAGTATGGAATCAAAAGAAAACTAAACGGCGACCAAAAACGGCAGCAAACAACTGCTCCGGAGCTGGCCGGAACTGGCGACAAACACGGCGACAGAAACGGCAACGAAAAAAGCAACGGAACCGGCAACAAAACAGCAGGACAAGAGGCCTCCTAGGTGGGGTCCGAGTAAATGGGGTCGAAAAATCGCGCCGCATCGCCGATGCATCACCGATGTACCAGCGATGCGTCGGCGATGCATCGGCGACGTCGGCGACGCATCCGCGACGTCGGCGTGGGGGCAATCGGGCTCCTCGTCGAGCCGCATCGCCGATGCATCGGCGATGCGGCGCGATCCTCCAACCCCAGAGACTCGGACCCCATCCAGGAGGCCGAGAAAAACGGAACTGCTAACAACCAAGGTCCCGTCGTCTCCAGCTGGGGGCCGGCGGGGCACCCTCCTTGGAGAGCGCCAGCCGTTCACCTGCGCCGAGCCCGGCCGGGCGCCTCCTGGGCCAAAGGCTCGGCGTATGCGCCCTCCTGCGCCCTGGGCCTCGCCACCGCTCGGAGGACGCCCCTGCCCCCGTGCCGTTTCCGGTGCCGTGCGCGCTCTCTCCCGCAGGGCGATCCGGGATGCTCCCCGAGGGCCCTCGCCGAGCAGCACTGCACGCGCCCGAGCGATGCCAAGGGATACACCGAACAGCCCCGCGGGAGAAGCAACTGGTGCTTGGCGAACCCCCCCGGCACCCCCCTCATTTTTATGCTGATCGTGCGACTGGCGCAGTTCGAAAAAACAGATCGACACCGCACGGAACGTTGAAACTGGAGTGGTGGGGGGGGGAGGTGCGCAGATGAACACCAGCTGCTTTTGGCACGGGGGCTTAGGAAGACGCATGCGCCGATCCTGGGTCCGGGATCGGCCCGGCCAGAGTTGGCGTGAGCGTGCACTGCTACTGCCCTCCGACGTCTGAGCTGGCGCGGCGCCTGGGCGCGCACGGTGGGCGGTGTGCGGGCTGAGTTCGCCGTCTCGCAGCGAGCCGTCGGTGTTGCGAGCTCTCCGCCGCGCTCCCAGAACCGCAGGCTGTGCACGGGGCGCCGACATCGGAGGGAGCGGGAAGCAAGCGGGACGCCAAGCGAACATCTCGCCCCACGTAAGAACCCGAGCCATGGTCCGATCCTGTGAGCTACGCCGCTGACGTACTTGATGTGGGTCACGACGGTGAAATCGCAATCAGCGCGATGTGAGCCGCGAGGTAATTATCGGGTGCGCTCGAAATGAGCGGACTGGCTGGACTGGCCATGCTGACTGGTCTAGCCGAGTTGACTAGGCTGGCTACGCCAGCGTCAGGTGGGTGAGCTGATTCGGCTGTGCTGCTGAGGCTGACCACAAGCTGTCCTGATGCGCGAACTGCTAACTGATAACTAGGTTAGCCAAGCGGTCTGGCGGTGATTTTGGCAACGCGATGTCCCTTGTAAGCGAGCGGAGGAGTTCAGAGCGCGCTTCCTGGCAGCATCGTTGGCATCGCTGTGTGCGCTGGCATACGCCATGTTCAATGCGCCATGTTCAATGCGGCGCTGAAGGAGAATAAAACAGTTCACGACTCCCGCGTTCCAAGAACGCTCGGCTGACATGTTGTCCGCCAGCCTCTGCAGCGGCCCCCCGCTGCTGGGGTGTTTTTTGGGGGCGCAGAGTGGGGCGCTGGCGCGTCAGTTCCACCTAACGCAACAACTTCCTCTTCGTGGAAAATATACACTTTGTCAACGCCGACACACTCGACTGGTTGGCATGTCCATGCAGGTGAACAAGCAGCCGGAATCGTGTCGAGAAGACGGTGTGGCACGCCTGAACTTTGCAATCGCGGCTGGCATACGTGCGCATGATATGCCTCGCGCCGTGCTTGACACGCGTGCGTTCACGAAGCCTGCCCAGCTCCAAACGTTCTGCAACTGCAGCGCGGGAGCGAGTGCGAAGCAACTGGCGGCTGCGCACGTTCACTGGCACGTTGGTTGTCGCAGACAGACTCCGCCAAGAGGAGCTGTGACACGAGCGAATCGTACGTCTCGGCGTGGTCGCACAAAAACGCCCGCCTCGCCTCAAGGTGCGCATCCGGGGGTACGCACCTCTCTGACACAGGCGGCACTCCCACACAGCAGTCTCAAGTCCTTGCCGGCCTGCTGAGCCCAGGGGAGCACCGGCCGTCCAGCATTGTCCCGGAACGACAACGTGACCTTCAACGGATGTGAAAACGACTTTTCCAATCTCCCCAAGTACTTGAACTTGCGTTGTACAATGTCGCAATAGATCTAGCGAGTGATGAGCTGAATGTGCACTTTCGATTCGGACCTCTCGCTTACGTCGGACCGAACAACATCGACGATCTTCTGTGCACACGCATGCACGTAGCGTACATCACCTTCTGCTCACGTGCGCCGTAACTCCGCAGATGCGCATTGAACAACAGCCTCGGGAAGACAAGACTCTCACGGAGCGAACATGTCACAACCATGTCAAGTTTCCCCGCCCGAAGATGCGTCAACAAATCAGCATATCAGCGATCATTGTCTTACTGCTGCGTTTGCTGGCATAGGCGAGGTGCCACCTTTCCTCTTGACCTCACTGCCGACATGAGCGTGCACGCTAACAAGATGCACAACGTCATTGGAGCCAGGGATAGGCAAGGCTGGCCACGTGTGGGTTGACAAGGTCTGCCACACCGCGACGCATTCTTCCCCCTCTGAACAAATATTCCATCTGTCTTCACTTTAAAAATGATCACCATCCTGCGCTTGGGGAAACACCAGCACAAGCACGCAAGAGCACATGGTTAGCATCCTCCTCCTGATCCTCCCAATTGCTCATCCTCAGCGAGCAAGGGGGGGCAGGATGGAACCCCCTCCGTCTCCTCCTTGTGCTCCTCCTCCTCCTCCTGCTCCTCCTCCTCCTCCTGCTCCTCCTGCTCCTCGTCCTCCTCATCAGCCTCCTCCTCCTCCTCCTCTTCCTCTTCCTCCTCCTCCTCCTCCTCGTGCTCCTCTTCCTCCCTCTCTCGTCTCCCCACCTCCTCGTCCTCCTCGTCCTCCTCGTCGTCGTCCTCGTCGTCGTCCTTCTCCTTCTCCTCCTCCTCCTCCTCCTCCTCCTCCTCCTCCTCCTGCTTCTTCGCCCCCCCCCCCGCTCGACGACAGCGGCGGCGGCGACGACGACGGCCACACGACGGCGGCGCGCGCCTGGATCGTCCCGAGCGCGCTCTGCAGGGAGCCAGCGAGGCGCTCCTGACCGCGCGGGGGGCCAACGCCGCCGTGGCGGCCATGCGGCGGCGGCGGCGGCACGGTTCCTGCAAGGCCCCGGGGTTGTGCCCCTGCGCCGCCTCGGGCAAGTTGAGCCTTTTTTTAGAAAAACATCCGAAACATCAGTCAAATTCACTTGCCTGGCATTCGCCCCCCCCACCCTCCCCCCCTCGCCCCTCCTCAGGCGAACACTGGCGTGGCTTCTGCACGCGCACGTGCGTGAAATCGCTTGCGGCCTACTTCGGGCTCAAGCCCCCCAGCCGTCCATGCAAATAAACTCGCCGGAGTCTTAAAAAACAACGGGCTCTTTCTGTGGCAACTCGCGGAGACCTCCCATACAGTCAGCTCGTATCATAAGGATGCGCGGTATGGATGCAAGGGCCTTGGACGGTGATGTGAACGTTGTTCGAACGAGCTTGGCCAACGAGAGTGGCCAAGAATGGACCGAATAGGCAAGGATGCAAGGGTACCCTTGGGAAGGATGCAAGGCGGATGAGAAGGATGAGGAGCAGGAGGAGCAGAAGGAGAAGGAGGCGGATGAGGAGTCGGGGAGAGAAACTGGCATATGGCCCCGCGCTCCTACCTGCCCACCTACCTCCGCTTCTTCCTTCTCCTTCCTCCCTCCTTGCATTCATCTTTCCTCTTTCCTCATCCTCGCGTCACGGCGACAAAACCACCCCGAGGGCCTAGAGGCGAACCCCCTTCCCTCTCCTTCTCCCTTTCCCTTTTCCTCTCTCTGCCTTGCTCTTCCGCTTATGCCTCCAGGGGCTTGCCTTCTCGCTCTTGGGGTGGTTTGGCCCTGGGTCTGTGCTGCTTTGCATCAGGCGCCTCCCCCTTCTCCCACCTCATTGTTAGTGATCTGATGCTCTCTACATTGCTTCGTTTCTCACCTTTTCCCTCATGAGCCCCCCCTCCACCTCGGGCCCGCAGCCGAGGTGGAGGGGCAGGACGGGTGGCTGCACGACGACGATCGACTGCCATGAATGAGTGAGTGAGTGAGGAGTCGGGGAAAGTTGTCCGTTATCTCCCCCCCCCCTTGTCCGATGAGGACGGGCAAATAGGGGGCCACATGCGAACCCTACCCCTACCCCCCACGATTTCTGAGGGGGAGGGTGGGGTTCAGTCCGTTCGGGAGCTCCCGAGCGAAGTGAACCCCACCCTTCCCCTCAGAAATCGTAGGGGGGTAGGGGTAGGGTTCGCATGCGGTCCCCTAGCAAAGGAGGAAGATCAGGAGGAGGAGGATATCCGTGCGCTCGCGCGTGCCAGATCGCTGGAGCGCGTGAGCTCGTGCCAGATTCATCTCTCAGTGTTACCAGCCTCGAACGCATCCCTATCCCTAAGATTGACACGCCAAAAGGCGATGACAATCTTAGGGGTTCGCCCTCAAAAAGAACGGAATCCCTAAGATTGGCATCGTGATGAGGCGGTGCCCAGCATAGGGATAGGGATATGTTCCAGGCTGGTAACAGTGAACCTGGCGCGTGAGCGCCAGATCCATGCGTCGGGGAACGCCGCCCCCCAAAGCAGGAAGCCAGCGCCGCCTGCGCGACGAGGCGCGCGCCGACCCTCCTGCGTGGAGACCGGACCCCCGTCGCTGGCTGCGCCTCCCCTGCAGGCACCGGCGGATGTGGACGTCGACGGCTGGTGGCAACGGGGGTGGCCACGGGGGTGATCCCGAAGGGTTGCAAAAACAAAAAACCCAAAAGATTGCAAAAAAAAAGGATTGCAAGAAAAACCGAGGGCGGAAGAAACGGGGCCCGAAGGAGGCCCTCGAGGGCCCCTGCCGGCTCCAAACAGGGGCCCTCGAGGGCCCCTTTGGGGCCCTCTCCTTCACCCCCCCCCCATTCGGGCCACCCTCGGGCCGGGCGGAAGGAGGGGATAGCAAAGGGGGGGTTTGCGAATCAGCTCACGTAAGTAGCTGATTGTCCCGGCGCCTCCCGGCGCCACAGGCGACCATGCATCGAGGAATGGGCCCCTCGGTGAGGCCGAAGCCAGCTGCATGCAGCAAATTTCGTAACCCCCCCCTTTCCCAATCCCCCCCTTTCGTCTGGCCCGACACCCCCCCGTTGCCACCCGTCCGAGGCCCCCCGTCCAACGGAGCCCAAAGGTCCGCATCCAGGGTCCGGGGGCAAACGCTTCCCGAGGAGGTGGATCACCACAGAGACTCTGGCCTGCGACTGTCATCGTCGAGGGTCAGGGGTCCAGGATCGAGGATAGGCCCACCCGCCTTCAGGGCGTGAGTGGTCTAGCGCGCCTCCTCTGCCAAACCCCGTTTCCACATCCGGGAAACGGTTCATCCCTGTTCTTATAGATATACACCCCGTCCCCCACATGACCGGGGACCCCCCCCCTCACTGTCAAACAGAACAGAAAGCGTTCCTTGCGGCTCCGGCGCCACGCGATCACTCCGCAGCTGTTTGATATGGACATGCACGAAGGGGATGCTGGCGCATTGCCTGCTGCGGACAGGCCTATCTTCCCGGTCAGAAGCAATACGAAATATACTACACAGCAAAATCTGGATCATGAGCGGGCGCTCCGTGGTCACTTTGCATGACTACTTGGCGAGGATGATGCGGGGGCCCTGTCAAGCGCGGCGCCCCCCCTGGCGGACATCGCGCCACTGGCTGGCATCTGCATCGGCTCCCGGTGATTATCCATGGCGGCCCCGCCCCTGCTGAGACTCAGATGCTACTCGTGAGGTCGGAGAGCGGGTGGAAGAGAGCGAAGCGGCCGTCATAGGCTGTCCCCCCAGACCCCCGACGTCATGATTTTTTCATGACGTCGACCCCCAGCGGTTTGGACCCCTTCCCCAGGACCGGTGTTTCCTCCTGAGTCGTTTTTTGACGGCCCCGAGGCCCGATAGGGGCCCCCAGAGGCCGAAAATATGGAAAAACCTCCCGTCGTGATTTTTTCATGACTCGGGGGGGTGGGCCCCTTCCCCCTGTCCCCCCTCCCGGGGTCCCCATACAAACCAGGCAACCTACCCATGGGGGCCCTCGGAGCCTCCAGATCCACCCTCCCCTGCCTCCGATGACTTTTGGGTACCTTCCAAGACAGCTCAAGCAGAGCTCCAGCACGCTAGAGAGGCCTCGAGAAAACCCAGGGTGGCCTCAAGATGGCCGAAAGCGACGAGATGTCAAAATCATGAGTTCCCCACTGTCCTTAAATGATGTTCGCGCTCTCGAGCTGTCGTGGATCCGAACGCCGAGACGGCCCGAGAAGCCTCCCAGAGTGGCCCAAGACGGCCCCCAAAAAGGCTTCACAAGAGGGCCCCGGGACTGTCTCCAAGAGGCTCACAAGACGGCCGAAAAGGCCCTCCAGCGGGCCCGCGAGGGGGAACTCGCGAGAGCCCCGGGAGGCCTCCCCCTCACAAGAGGGCCCCCAAGACGCCCAACATGCCCCCCTCGAGACGCCACCCCGAGGGCCTCCACAAAAAGCACCCAGGAGCTCGGAGAGAAAAAGGCTCCCAGGCGGCCGCCCCCGAGGCCCCCGAGAAGCCGCGCCAACAGGCGCGAAGGAAGGGGGGGGGGGGGACAACCCCGAATCGAGTGCATGGGGCGTCGAGGATCGAAGGATCGAGGTGTGGTCATCTCGAGGATCGAAGGCTCGAAGGATCCACTACTGGCCAACAAGAGGGCCTTGCCTCCGAGGATCGAAGGAGCTGCCCCCTCTTCCTCGGCGGCATCCGGCGGAAAGGGCGGCGGAAGGGCGGCGGAACAAAAAGAAGACGAGGGGCCGCCTCCGCGGGCGGAGGGCGGCGGAGGCTCGGCGGAAGTAAGACATGCGCCCACATGCAGTCCTCCTCCTCCTCCTCCTCCTCCTCCTCCTCCTACTCCTCCTCCCTCTCCTCCCCCTCCCCCTCCCCCTCCCCCTCCTCCCTCTCCCCCTCCTCCCCCTCCTCCTCCTCCTCCTCCTCCTCCTCCCCCTCCTTCCCCTCCTCCTCCTCCTCCTATCACGACGGGGCGCGGCGAACAACACGACATTGGACGCCGCACCTCTCCTCTTCGGGGGCTCGGCGGGGGGGCGGCGCAGCTCTGGAGCAGCAGAACTCTGTGGGCGTGGCGTAATGGGGGGTCATGAATGGGGGGCTCGGAAACGGCCACCGTGCGAAGAATAATCGTACTCGTCCCTGCCGCCCCCCGCGCAGGGGAGCGATTTTATGCTCGGCGTTTCGACATTGGGCGGAAGGGGAGGGGAGATTGGGCGTGGCTTAATGGGGGGGTCACAAATGGGGGGGTCAGAAAAGGTCCCCTCTCGTGCCCCTTTCGGGCCCCTCCGGAGCCCCAAAGGGGTCGTTTAGGTACCGTCTGGGTACCTTCTCGGACCACGCTCGCCACCCCCCCGTTTATGACCCCCCCATTACGCGACGCCTAAACTCTGTGAGAGAGACCGGTTCCGGGAGATGGGTGCAGAGATCTGAGGGCTCCGCGTTATGAAAAAAAGATCACGTCGGGGGTCGAATCCATACATGCAGATGTCCGCGCGCAGGTGCTGGTTGTCCTAATGGCTTGAGGTGGACCTCCATCCGTGCAGAGGCTGTGCGCAATACGGGATGTGCGCGCGGCGCCACATCGAGAAGGAACATCTGAAACAGAGTCGCCTCCCCCTATTTATTCGCCCGTGGGCATTAAACAGCAAGATTAGCTAAATTAGTGTCCACCCTCTACCTGTACAGATATTGCAGCTTTCATCGTTACACGCGAGGGCCAGACGGCCCTTACTTCTTGCCCGAACCTTGCCCAAATCCCCGCCGATTGTTGACCGAATCCCCGCCGAATCTGCGTGAATGGTATGCCGTTGCTGCGCGCCGAGGGACATCAAGCGTCGCGCCGAGGGGGCGCACCGCTTGCGTAAATCTGAAGCGGGAAGCGGTTGACACTTCTGTGAGCATTTCGGCTGGAGACGCTGCGGCCACCGCAGCGGACACGGCCAACGAACCGAAAACTGCAACGCGCGGTCACCATCACCTAGCGCTGCGACCG